TCCGTGCAATTTGCGGGGAAAACTGAGGACTTGCTCTTGCACAAGACCCCTGCAAAATTGTATGACCTTGAAAGCGATTTGGGACTCACTAAGATTTAATGAAAGTATATGTTGAAATGTTATCGTTTGAAACCCCATTCACCATGTTGAACATAGATGCTCTTTCTGTCAGATCCAAGGGAGCGTGTCTCCTCTGAATGGATGGATAATGTTGGGCGGTTCCAAAGGCTCGGTTCTTATCAGCGCATGTGAAAGAAGTGAACAGATGCAAAAGCTGGAACTTGCATCGAACTGTGCTCAAATAGCTTGGTTTCATTTACCCTCTGAGTTCATGACATGAAACAAAGACAAAACCCTAGCACGCCTTGGGAACCAAAGAGGCTGGCAAAACAAAGGCTGCTTCAAGGTTAAGAGGGGGGGGAAGTAAGGGTGGGACGGGTGGGGGATTGTGGACTGGAAAACAAATCCGGGAGCTTCTTACGGATACGACAACTAAGGTCACGTAGCGGCTATATTTGAGGCTGGAGTTGCAAGAGGGAGCGGTGTGAATCAATCTTGAGGGTACCCATCTTTGAGTGGTTTTGAAGGGAACCCAAATGGAAAGCCACGATTTTGCGGAATCCGGCATTTTGCCAGAAACCCAGGTTTTGGAAGGGATGTTTCATCGTTGCCTGTGGAGTTATGTTCCCATGCTTCGCTATAAAGTTGTTCCAGACTTGCTCTTTGATTTGGGTGTGTTTGCGTGTTTGTGTCTGTGGCTGTTTTCTACTACCCTTAAAAGTTGAAGGGACACCAGCGGTTCCAGTTGACCTTGGGCATCCGTTTCGCTCAGCCGCGATGTCGACAGCGCAGATTCAGGCTAAATACCTTAGTGTAACCTGCTTCCGAAAACCTCATTCTGGAAACGCTGATTTGGTGCTTCACTCCGGGAGTCGGAGGAATCGGCTTGTAGTGGACCCCCTTTCTGCGCTTCCGCATAAAATGCCTAACAAAGCACTGGAACCGCTCAAGGGTTGCTCAGGAAGTCCCGCCATTTCCAGCATGCGGTGAAGCAGCGGTTTTCTGTTAGGCTACGAATTGTTTTGCGAAGAACTCTTCTCACGGCATCCTGTGGCCTCCCAGATTTGGATTGGATTTGTCATGTGTCTTCGAGTTGTTGCCCTATTGATGGTTGTTGTTGCTTAACGGGGAACGAAAGGGAAATGAAATCCATTTCTGGAAATGCTCACAACAACGTCCGAATGTGCGGTTTGTTTTACAAAAGGTTACGGGCGAGGTGATCTTTCGCATGTGTCAGGTGCAAAGAGGCTTGGGAGCATCGCTCATTTTTGGTTGAGCACCTGCTGGTTCACCAACGGACTGCATCTCACATATATGTTCAAAAGTAGAACTAGTCGGCCACTTCCAGTTGTCGATGCCAATCACTTTCGATGAGAACAGGAGTCCAGAAATTGCACTTGCTTGAAGCGCGGCTGCGCTCAAAAAGGAATCCTTTGTAGGTGAGCAGCAAAAACGCACTTTCGATGTGTCAATTCTTGCAAAAGTGGCTCAGAGAATGCAGGCCAAAGTGAAGGTTCGTATCCTTCGCCTTCATACAATCAGGTCTAGCAGAAGAAGAGTATATAGTAGTTGTTCCTGTCAGATTCAATCATCAACATGATTGAGCGACGGCGGAAGGCCCACTAACTTCCACACGGCACGAAACAATTGTCCATTGCTCATCCCTTACATGGAGATACGGTACGCTAGAAAGACTACCATGGGTGAATGGGTCATGGTTGCAGAAAATTGGGGCTTAGGTTCCACTTTCTATGTTATCAAGGGAAGCTTCTTCAAACTGAAGTAGTTGGGATGGGAATCCCGCTGGGGCCCGGCCAAGTTTATTTAACACAGGAAATGGGTGCAAGTGACTGGCCGCCAAAGTGCGGCAAAGCCTCAGAGTTCAAACAAGGCGACTTGGGCCGCTGCATGGCCAAACGGCAATGATACGGGTATCATTTGTTCATTGGGGGATCCTTTGGTGGACATCAGAAATGCAGGTTTGCATTGTATTTGGTAGTTATCAGCCCCGGCCATTTGGGAACCAAGCATGTTGGAAGGTGTTCTGTATGGCCGGATATTGGGGCAAGTGACCACAGTGCATGGACAAAGGTTCTGCAAACGTTGTAGGCAGACAGCAGCCCATCCCAGGGTTTTGTTTGGTGCAGTCGCCGGCCTTGCGCTCTGCAGCCGCTGGCCTCATTGCATAGCTGCCTTGGGAAGTCGCGAGGAGTTGGCCGGCGGGCATGTCTTTGTCGTTTGATTGACACAGCTGGTAGAAACAGAATCGAATGCCAATTTGGCTGAACACGATCAACTCATTGGAAGAAAGGCAAGCCGGACATCGCATGAGAATCATCCTCATCCTGCAGGCGACCCGCGTGACGCACTGAGGGTTAAAAAGGTTTAAGGCCCAGAGGCAAAGTGTTCCAACCTAGACTCAAGAGCAACGACTGATTGTGCTTCCCAAAGGCGGTCGGTTGGGTGGCAGACTCTGCGTTGATGCATGGTCTCATCCACGTGGTGTTCAAGCGGTTCGTGCTGGAAAAGCTGGGCGAGGCCGCGGGGCGGTGTCGCTGTCCAATCTACATTTACGACGTTCTATGGATTTGGGGTTTGATCCTGGATCAAAATTGATTGGAGGATAGGGGACTTGCGGCCAAGCGGACAACTATCCGACCTGTGTAATTCTGTACATGAGCAGGGTTTAAGAACCGGTTTGCTTGCGATTGAGGGGGGTGGCCATCAGAGCCCCGCCTCAATGCAAGACTCTCTTGCGACCCAGATTTGAACACGACCTTTGATTTTGAACGGCCGCTCACACTACACACGTCCAGGGATTGTTTTGAGCGTTGTTTGTGCAAAATCAAGCTTTGAAGGGATGCCGGCGGAAGTGAAAGGACTGTTGTGGTCTTAAAAGCACACTTCCAAGGATGTGGATTTGAAAACCATCTTGCAGAATTTCGGCTGAAACTGGGCGCGGCACGCTGGAAGGGAGTGACTGATTTTCATGAGGAATGAAACAACAAGCTAGCAGGATTTCTGTGTGTTGAAAAGCAAACTTCCAGCGGAGGAAGTGACAGGTACAGCTTCAGGGATTGGTGGAAATCGATAGCTAATGTTCAGAGAGTGTTGGTGGAAGCTTCCAGTGTGGTTAAAAGTAAAGGCAAGCATTCAAGGAGTTGGGGATTGTAGTGAACTTGGGGTTGGTACTAGCACGTAACAGTGAGGTGAAATTGAAAAGCAAGCATTCAGGAACTGTAGTGAACTCTAAAAGCAAACGTCCAAGGAGTGTGCTGAATTGTCAACCAAACTTGAAGCGATTGCGGTGAACTGTCGAGCGGACTTCTAGGCATTTTGGTGGAGTTTTCAAGCCACCTATCAGGGGTCGGTTGCGTCGATTCCCCAAATCACGGAGATTGTCGGCCCAATAGAGAAGCAAGCTTTGGGAATGTGGTGAAATCGAAAAGCAAACGGTCAGCAATGGTAGGTAGCAATCAAAGGAAAACTTGCGGGGACTAGCATCAAATTCTACAGCACGCGTACGGGAAATGTGGAGGCAAACTTTCGGGGAGTGCGGAGGAATTCAGCAGCAAACATCGGAGGATATTGAAAAGCAAGCTTTGGATGTGGTCAATTAAATGTAAGCCTGGTAAAAGAATACAAGCAAGCTTCGGGAGTTTTCAAGACGGCGAGTGAGCCATCCATCGAAAGAGCAGGATGTCAAAGTGAGGCGACCCCTGCCTGGAGTTTATCTGATCTCAATGTTATATTCCAAGGTTCGCTAAATGAGTGTGTGTGTGTGTATCTTTGTGTGTCTGTATGTCTTTTTTGAGGAAACCCCTTGGGCTTGGTTTAAAGGGCGGCCAAAAGGAAACCGCATGATGCCCCCATAAGAGAAATCCTTAGAGAATCAGAGAACTGAAATGAGCTGCGCTTTGGTTTCCGCGGCTCCCAGGATCTGTGGACGGCCACCTTGGAACAGGCGAATTGATTCGATTGGATTCGACGCTCTGGGTTTCGGGAGCAGGGGTTCGAACCCCTACCTCTGTCATTTTGATTCCTTTTGAGGGTCAAAGGTCAGCTGGGGTTTCCCGACCTGCCACTTTGCTTATGAAACAAAGTACCCATTTTGGATTTTGGGGGCGACATGTGCTTTCAAACACATCGGATGGTCCAGTTTCTTCTGGTTGCCAAATCCATGGGGGAGCTGATTGACCGAATTGGAAAAGTAGATTCCACTGACCCAATCCAAACTTCCCAATTGTTCCAGTGCCACAAAGACATGTGTTTCTTCGTTTTGGAGGGCCAATATAAATCAAAATCCCCCTCTCTATGACTCCAAAATAGATTGAACATGGCCCAAACTTGCCAAATGTTCCCAGGTTTTCCCGTGAAGTGCTCTTGGGGATCCCCGAAGTGGGGTTCAGTCACTGGCTGCCTTGCTGGTCTGCTGGCAACTGGCCAATTTAACCAGGTTCTGTTGCTGGTTGGTTTAATGAGAAACCAAGAGGGAAACCACCTTTTTTGGGGGAGCGGTATGACAAAGGCCTCTGAGCACCAGTTACCAAGCCCACGGAACTGTTCCCGCCCCCAACCTAAGCTCTATATGCTGTGTCCAGAGCACTTTGGGGCAAGAGGCAGCGGTTCACCCTTCCCGCGGTCGGCCAAAGCCGTTGTGAAGGGCACTGTTATACCTGGCAATCCTAGAACTGAGCTTTGCTTGACTGTGCGCCTTCTTCCTTGAACTGATGGCGGCTTCAGTTCTTGTTAGATTATTGGCTATTTGGGATGCACTGGAAACGTTGCTCTACGAAGTCCGCATTTCAGACTTGAAGCAGGCGGGCAATTGTTCACATTGGGTTAGGTGCATTGTTTGGCTCACCCGTACCTGGGCTCGCTTTGCTCAAAGAGAGCATATCTTCGATCGTTTCCAGGAGTATCCCGGGATTCAAGATGGCACAAACCCCAATTTTGTCTCGCTCACGAGGCGGGCGTCGCAAGCGATGCAAAGATTTTCGACCCCATCGCCCACTCCGACAGCGGCTCGATGCAAAGAGGATGCACATTTGTTCCCCAGCCATGCAACATGTGCCAATTGCTATGGACCACCTAAATGGAATCTGTCAAAAGGGCGCTCTGGTGTGTAGGGTGAGGTAAAAGGCTGCCTCACAGAGTTCCTGGTATTTTTTTGTCCAAATCTGATACACGTAAGACAATAAAGCGAATTGTAAACCTATACTGGACCAGCGATTCTTCCCGAAGAGGATCGAACAGGACCAAAGACGACCGAAGAGGATCGACACAGGCCGCCACCCGAGTGACAATCATATTTGTTGATAACAATAGTTTGTTTCTTTAGTTTTCATTGTAGTTTTTCCAGATATGCTGCAGATTCCTTCCAGTTGTTTGCCGTCCGGCTCCGCAGAAAGGTTCTCAGCTATAAGGCCCCTGTGAAGGCTCCAAGGGGGGCGGGGGTCCTTTCGACACCTTTGCGTTTCTCGAAAAGCGTTTTTGATTCAAAGTTGCTCCCAAAGCGGGTCTCACCCGGGAAAGCACTAATCTGTACCCTCCCCCGCATCGTTTTGCAGGACTTGCTCTGGTCCGCCAAGACTTCTTATGTACATTTACTACCCTTTGAACCTTGGAATTTCCAGTCACATGTTGTTTTCCTTGGAGTCAAGGGCCATGCCTTGCCTTGAAGAGTCTTGGAAAGAGACTAAATACGTATGGCCTTTATGGCTGAACAGGGCAGGATTGTTCAGGGCTCCAGTCAACCAACAGGTCGTTCAGTTTCTGCGCCTCAAGTCTAGTCCGATCTCAGGTGTTGATTTTCAAGAGGTGAGATCCGCTGAAATCAAATATTAACAGGAAATTAGGTTGATTTCAGATGTGAAATGCCCCGATCTCACCCTTCAAAAATCAAGACATGAGATCCGCCGGGTTTAACATTGACCAAGAAAAAGTGAGGGTTGCCCAATAGAGGGTACCAGGGTTTTGACCCACGGCAATTCACTCAAGCTGTTGGACATTCTCGGTCCGCAGCTCGGATCCGAACGTTTTGGACTTAGGCGTGACCTTGGCTTTGATCGCCGCAGCATGCGTCTTGGATTTGGACTGGGCCCAAAGCGGTGACACGTTCAGCCCAGTGATTCCCCATTTCCCTAGTCTATCGGGAGGAGTGAGTTGACTTCAAGTCGATTGCCATGAGAGTGTTGGAGTTTTGCAGATCAAGCGCCACTTGATTCTGATGTGTGTTCCTTGTCGGAAGGGCTCACGTTGACACAGTTTCGGCAATCCATGGCATTCAAATCAAAAACCAGTGTTGAAAGCCAACCACGACTCAAGGCCCCACCTTGCCCCTTGGCTGTGAGACGGTGTCTCAAACTTAGAGTTCCCTCTTTTGCGGTGCTAGGAACTCCATTTTGGGAGGCCCATTTCGTTCCGGTGTTGGAGTTCGAGTCTGAAAGACCAAGGGGCCGCCCCCGCCTGGGCACCCAGCAAAAGTGGTGCAAAGCACTGATGCGCACGAGGTACTGTTAGCAATGACGAGCTGCCCCTGTTTTTGGAAAGTTTCGGACACTTGGCAGATGGAGCTGTCGGGACGGGTGGGGGGCGCCGCGGAGGTTTGGGATGTCAAATGGCTGTGCTTCACTGGCCTCACGTGGGATCTGGATGGCTGCAACCAGGGCCCTCGTTTTTCTAGAGAATGCTTCCTGAATGTCAATGGCGTGAGGAGAACGAGCTTTGGCGCCTTACCGGGTTCCCAGTTGGATATGCAAGCTGAGTACCCTAGCGGGGCCAGCGCCGCTGGCTCTCATGAGGATTGTCGTTGCCTAGTTCAGCCAATTCGACCCTCTGAATCCCGTTTGCTAAATGTTCTGGCTGAAGATGGAATCAACGCCCAGCCAACGAAGGAAACCTGTTTGGCAACTCAGCTTGTGGGCCAAGAGGCGAGGACGATCCGGAAGAGCTTAGTGATATAATATATATATATATAGCGCATCCTGCACAATGCTGCCATCGTCACAGTTCAAGATGGAAGTCGGCAAACATGAATTGAAATCGAATGAAACAAAGAAGGAATGTGGAATGGATCACGGCCAAGGAGCATTCCTGATATAGAATTAGAGGTCCAACCAAGATGGTTTATTCATATCATGTGTATAGTTCTGCACTGCACTTGTAGGTATGTTAAAAGTTATGTATGTGATCGATTGCTGCAAACAAGCTGGTCCATGCAGCAACTAATTGATATCCAGATGGAGCCGACATTCATTTTTAGCCCAGCTTGCTCATTCTACAGTGGATTGCCAAAAGCCAGTCAAGCGCCCTTGGCAGAAGCTAACTATCCTCTTATTTGTAGTCTTGACACTCACTCATGTACGAAAACCAAAGTACAGCGGCCAGTGTAAAACCTCGCAAAAGATGTGTGGTTCTGCTAAGCGCTCACGTGAAAAGAGTATGGTTGACCCGACATCAAGATAGCCAAACACACGTTGAACACGGTTGTTGGGTTTCTACTGTTTGTTTTGTTGCTTAGATCCAACATATCTTGTTGGCTGCGTAGAGGCATTTCTTCTGCGTTAGGCTCAGATAGCCGCTCATGGGTAAGCTATCAGGATTCGTGTTGGGCTTCTTTCCAGAGCTAGCATTCATTACAGCCATTAGTTGGCTCGTTGATGTGTCAATTCAGGCATGGTCCATTTACATATTAACTTGTTTGTTGATATGCCAATGAGCTTCAATTGGGAACCACCTCAAAAGTGCCGGTGGACATGAATCCTCAGCGGAATGACGTCCACCAAAGGGTACCTGCACCAAAGGCTTCATCAAAATTCACACCCATATTTGAGCAATCACCTGCACTGAATTGATCTTTATGAGTTCACCCCTTGGGTGTGCCTTTTTTTGCGAACTCCGTCGGTTTTTCGGATTGAGGTCCAGCTTGACTTTCGGCCCAGTGCGTAAACAGTCACACAATCCTACCATTCATTCCAGAATGCCAGAGATAGTGCAAGTGGACCAGCCAACCCTGGTAATTTGCGCTGAAGCACAGGAAATCCAGCATATGAGCTTGTTTCAAAATAGGGACTCAAACAACAAGTGCATTTCCTTTGGTTTCCCTTTCAAACACCCCAAACACCAGCAAAAAGGACACACGATGGAGAAGTAGGTTAGCGCTTGCCTCAAAAGAACGAAGCAACACAGAAAACATGAAAGCCTAAAAGTGGAAGAGCTCTTTGGGTTTTTTAGACTATACTCTTGCGGCAGTCGTCCAAGGAGAGTTTTGGGTGAAGTACATCACGGAGGAAGGCTACCTGACCTTCCTCCAATCCTTGGGCAGAAATATGTTCGACTTCTTTTCCAACAGTGCCCTGGCCAGCAAAAAGAGCATTCAAGGTCCATTGGTCCATTCCCCTCCCTCCCCCCCCCATGAGAATGGTCCAAAGCCTCATGCATTTGTGGCAGCCGGACCACCATGCAGTCCCTAGTGAGACGGATATGTGTTAACAACTTTCAGCACTTGTGAACATGCGGACTTTAGCCTGTCCCCCACTTGGTGTCTCAGTTTTGGTGGTTGATCACGTTGATCCAAGCTCGTATCATTATCCACTCGGGAACACCAAAGGGGGTCCTACATGGTTCCGCAGCTTTCTCTCATCGCGGGCCGGCAAATTTGGGGCTTGGCCCGAAGCTTTTGCTTTGGGTCCAACTTTAGTCTTGGCCCCAAGATGTTCATTCATTTCCAGGTCCTTGGGGTGAGTCAGGTTGGTTTCCTCGTGGTGATGTTACGTCTCTCATGTCTCAAAAGGGCCCTGCCATTCCGTCCAAAGGATTTTCGTGGCTGCCCCTGTGACGAGAGGTTGCAGTTGAGTTGCTGAGATTCTGATCGGTTCTTTTCTATACCCCTTATCGAAGTTCCTCAGGGTTGGAGTTCTTCCCAATGCGTGCCAACTAAGGCCACAGAATTGCCGACTGTCCATGAGTGCTGAGCTGTCCATTGCCAATCTGTACGGTTTTGTTCATGAATCCTAAGTGTCGGCCTGTTCAATTGCCCGAGTTTTGCTGAACTAATCAAATGCAGAGAGAAGATATCCCCAATTCAGCCGCAGGTACTGGTGATTGCATTTCGAGAGGATTACTTGCTCTTGAAAATACTGGGCCCCACCCTACCCCCAAACCAACAACGGTCCCTTTCGTAGATGTGAGGGATTGTTCGTAAAAATACCCATTGCTCAAAGAACTGGGATTATGCTGCTGTGGGGGGTTTCGTTGTCGAAAGGCCAGCCTCGCTTGCCGAAAGCCGACCTTTTGACCTTTTGGTTTTCCCTTGTTGGTCCATTTTTAGTCATGGCCCCAATGGGTTAACCCTGTTTTTCTGGGTCCTTTGGGCAAGTGAGAAGCCTAACACAGGCGTCTTGTCCAACCTTGGTGCTCAATCCCCTGCCAATTGGCTGAGTTAACATCCTGCACCACACCGTACAGAGGGAGAGCAAGAATGCAGCCTTTTGGACTGCAGTACGACATGGGGGGGAGGGTGGTGGCAATGTGGCAATGTGGTTGATAAATGAAATGACTGGCATATGGATGGTTTTTGGACGGACCCTTCTCTGGCAATTATTTTCAGGGAAAACCAAAGGAAGCCACCAGAGGGATACCCGTGTTAATGAGCCAACTGCGAGCATGTTGCATGTTTTCTTTTGGTTTCAGGGCTGAGCTGCGATTTGGCAGTGGCGGTGGCAAACACCTTTTGGTTGTGTGGCTTTGCTGCTCTGTGGCGGTGGGTTTGTGTGGTGTACATTGGCTCCCGTGTCTTTGTGGTGTGATGTTGTGCGGTTGCGTGGCTGTGTACCTACTTGGGTTTGGGATTGTGGTTGTGGTTGCGCCTTGTGTTTCTATAAGAGTCGCCGAAATACGGTACTGGGTTGATTTCTGACTTGATGCGATTGCGAATCTCGTTTGACAGACACATTGACGTATGTCTTCCTTGCATGATGACCTTCATTTGAGCTGCAAACAGTTTGCGATTGAAATCTGACGTGTGGCCTCCAAAAATTGGCGCAGCCTCCCCATTTCCTATGCAAGGTGGTTGCTAGCTGGATTCAAGTCGAGGCCGTGTCGCAAGCTGGGAGGATCTATTTCTAAGCCCCGCTAAAGATGCAATCAGCGAAGCTTGGTGAAGTTGCCAAGCCAAGCCTTGTGAGTTGGACGCATCGTTCGCCTGCTTGGACCAAGTGACTAATGGAATCGACCCAAAATTCAGTTCGGCCCGAGTCTTTCTCCTACTCCTGTCAGTGGGCAACAGCAAAATGGTCTAAGCCAAATTGCGGCGACCGGCACCACATAGACTGAGACAAGCAGTTCCAACCTCTGAGTTGGACACGTCAAACAAATTTTTTTGGTGTCTTTTGTGTGTGTGTGTGTGTTTTTTCTCGGGCAGTTCTGGGGTGCAAGCCCTCAACCACAGAGCCGAGGTTTTTCCTCTCTTGGAGGTGAGTCACATCTCGGGTGATCCGGACGGGCCAGAGCACACCTTCCGGCTGTACTATGGCCGCTCAGCCTCGATTCGTCGATGCGGCAGGCTTCTTCGGACATCCACAGCCAAGTTTGACAGAAAAACATGGAAAAGTACAAAGTGTTGAACATTGGGGCCAGTGCAACAGATGTAGGGTTGCTACCGTGCACCCAACAAACAAAGCGACCCAGGGAGGATCTGAGCCTACATGTTTGCTTGTTCCCACGTCCCACCCCAGGGGCAGGAGCGCGGTCACAGCCCGTGGAATCCGCAGAAGCAACGCCACTGGGTCTAAAAGCCATCCAACCTGTTTGGTTGCGTCAACCCAAAGGAAAGTGACCCTGCTTGAACACAGAACTCGCCCGTTGTTGGGTACATTCGTGGATGATTTGGGCCACTCGAAGAATCGCCCTAAACCCGTTGAATTCGAATATCGTGTAAAGCAGTTGTGGGTTTTTTTGGGTGCTTGCTTTTGGAGCCCTTTGTATTACCAGTCGTTTTTCGCTCCACGGTGTCCTCTTGCTTTCCGGTTGCTTCCACGTGAAACAACTGCGAAGGCAGCGGCCGAGCGGGGCTGTCCACCTTCCTGCTTGGGATCTTGAAGCAGCTTGCGAAGCAACTCTTCCACTGCACCGTGACCGCCCAGGACTTGCCGAAAAAGCAACTTGAAGCCAGCGCGGCAAAGCAGGCAAACAAGGCAAGGCCAGGCGAGCAGCCAAGCAAGACAAGCGAAGCTAGGATAAGCCAAGCAAGACAAAGAAAGTACCACCAAAAATTGCAAGTTCCAACAAAGCAATCAGGCAACAACAAATTGCGGCGCAACCAAGCAACCAAGTAGGTGTTGCAGAAGGCGTTTGTGTTTCCCCCCGTGCAACGAATGATTGTTGGTTGCTTTTTGCACAAGAAGGCTAGTGCCATCCTGATTTATGCGGCAACGTTTTAAGATGGTGTGGGAGAAAGAGCAGATGCCGCGCAAAATGGGGCCTGCCGACGGAATAAGAGTTGCATATGGTGCAGCTCCTTCAAACTGTTGTTATTTTCAATACTTTCATAGGGTGCAACAACTCCTTGAAACTGGATTTCCAGTTCTGGTTCCATGTTCCTCGTGCCGAAACACAACGTCGACCCCAAAACACCTGCAAACCAGGCGGTGAAAATCGCGGGATATCTGTTTTTGGAGGCGAGGTCATGGACTTTCAATGTTTGGGGGAAGACATGTTTAGTGTTAAATCATGTTGACCCCATATTAATCAACCCAAGTTGATTCCTAGGGGGTAAACTCCCCTCCAAAAGTGCTGATTCCCTACCAAACTCAGGGACACCCCCCTACTAGCAAATCAACTTTAGACTTTTCGTGGCCGGTCCACCTTTCAAGTTTGTTTGTCATGACTTGTGTTCTATGCGAATGGTAGGTCGTTTGCTCCAGTTTGAGATAGATGTCAAAGAAAGTGTTGCAGAAACTTCCGTGGTACCGGGCTGACCTATGTCATTGGTACAGATAAGCAGCGTTTAAAACCGCCGATGAAAGAAGTTAGTAAAGGTGTTGTCCTGCAAGTTGCGCGAAAGGAAGGCACAGGGCATCACAGGGCGTCACGAAAGCTTCGCGAAAGGAAGAATCCTGTTTGCGAAGGGGCCGCGAAAGGCCGAACCGTTCGCGAAAGCTCCGCGGGAAAGGACAACTGTGGAGTGCGCAAGATTCGACGAAAGGCCGCGAAAGGGTTCGCGAAGGCAGACATGGAACACAACATCGTGGACCGTGGAACCGAGGTTTTGACCACCGCTCAGATGTCTTGTTGAAAGGTCCTTACATTTGGCGCGCCCACCAGACGCTGGTCTTAGGCCACTTGGTAGTGTGTGTGTGTGTGCTCTGTCAAGGAATCTTTGTTGAGCAGAGCATCCCACCTTTCGTTCAAGAGGTTCACAACCCACGCCTCGTATCAAAGCCACTCCTTTAGCCCTGTCTTGGTTCTGAAGGGCCAACCTCAATCGCAGGACGTTTCCAGCACAGGGCCCTCAGAGATGGGCGCTGGCATCCACGTACAGCACGTCTTTCTGGTCACGGTGGTCCGCATTCCAGGTCCGGGAAGTCTTGTGAACGCCCCCCCCCCACCCCACCCTTTGGTGATCGAATCGCCACACTTCTGGGCAAGCCCTTTTGTCGAAAGCCCAAATCTTTGGTGAATGAGTATGATCTCCACCCCCCCTCAGGGATTCTTGCTAATGCAAAAAACACATCAAATCGCCAACAATCCTTTGGCTTTCCCAGTTTGAGTCCAGGTGCCAAAAGGTTTCCTCTTTGATCTTGAGGTCCTGGCAAGTGAGACTGTCCATCTCTTGGGGAGGCGGAATTCAGGCAGGTTGATAGATCCGATCCATCGGAAGACAAAGGCATTGGGGTACTCTGGTCGCCTCCCTTGGGCATCCAATGCTTCGTCCCCTAGACAAACATGCTGACAGAAATACATATATATATATAATAATAATATATATATATATATATGTATATTATATATATTATATATATATATGTGTTTGCAGATTCCTGGTACTGACATGTTTTGCTCTTTTTTCGGCGGCACCAAAAGGGGGCTCTCCCTCCCCCCCCCAAAGAGAATGCTTGAAAGGGGGTCTTGGAAGGGTCATGAGAACCTGCCCGGCAGGGAGGATAGTGATGTGTCGAAAAACTGCTTGGGTGTTGTGTCAGTTTTCTGCAAACGGTCGAGGGAGTGCACAGTTAGATTCAATCGTTCAGTGGTCATGGATGGGAATCAGCCACGTTGGTATATACCACAGAAAGCGTGATTGTCCGTTGGCAGAAGGTGGGGTTGTCTGCATGTTTTTTGGTTGCCCCTCGAGTGATTTTGCAGATTCCTGTTGGTGTCCGTTTAGAACCATGCAAAAGGGGATTCCAACCAACAAAAGACACGCCGTCTTTCCTTTGAGCCTTTGAGCAACCACCGCCGTTGAGCCTGCTCCGGTTTCGGCCTTTGCGGGTCGATGTGGCTTCAACGGAAATTAGGCTTCAGCGGAACTTAAGATTCGTAAGTCCTGACATGGGCTTTTGTCAAAAAGGGGGGAGTCCGCTCAAAAAGGCGGGAGTCCGCTCAAAAAGGTGGCTCCTTTTGGTTTCCCCTCAGAACCAACCCATTTTTGGGCATCCACCCCCAAAAAAGAGTACACTTTGGGGGTGTTTCTCGAAAAAAAATGCGGCCGTTTCAGGTTGCTTTCCATTTTCAACCAGCCGGAAAAGGGGGCTCCACTTTTCGACAAAAAACGCACCACCAATGTCCTGGTCTCTTCTTACGTGAAGCCTGGTATGACCCCCAATCCGAGTAAGTATCCATCGGCACATGAGTGAAGCACCCCGAAACGGAAAAGAAAACGCCACACGCAGCAGCAGCCGCAGGGCGGGCGGTGTCCGCCGAGGCGGCTTCGCCGGGGAGGAGCGGCTGGGCCATGATCTGCCTTGAAGCGGGAACAACTTCCCGAACTTATAGACTTTAGTCCCTCTTGGGGGGGCATGTTAAGGGCAAGCACTTTGTGGGAAGACCATTTTAATGGCAAACAAAAAGTTTGTTTGGACTTTTGGATGACCATCTCACAAGTGGTTGGGCATGAAGTCCCACCGAAGTCTGATGTTCTCCAGGACCCGGTCCCCAAGCTTAAAAATCACGCCCTTTCAGAGGCAGTTGCTCACCACAAAGAAGAAACAGCATTGCCACTCCGAAGCAAAGCATCAACTTGAAGCAAGCCAAATCAAGGCCGGAATCAAAGGAAGCGAAAGCTGACCACCTCAACCATGGTGAGTGACACAGGATCCGCAAATTGCCAACGATTCCCTTGGCCAACCCCATAATCATCTGTTCATTGAACTAGTTTGTTTTTTGTAACTTTCGGCACCTGAAAGGTTTCCCCGCCTGTTGTTTGGGCCAATACAGGCAAGAAACGGAGGTCAACCAGGTTCAGGGTTCGAAAACCTGACAGGTACTGGTCTGAGCTGTGGCAAAGGTATTGTTTGGTGTTCGGACATGCGTTCCAGCTGGGGGTGTGTTTTTTGAGGGTACCCTGTAAAAGGTTGGTTTAAAGAAACCAAAAAGGAAAACCACTATTCAAGGACCACTGCTTTCATGAGCCATTCCCAGATTTGGGTGTTTGACCCGTTGAAAGCGGCGAAGCGACTCTCAATTCCTCATCAAGGGTACCAGCGATTCAAGTGAGTTTGTGTTTGTTTGAGTTGGGACCTTGTTGGAATTGGTTTCAAGGGAAACTGAACAGGAGACAACAAACTGCTTGGGGCCCCGTATTTTCCCATAATGTCAAGGAAATGTCCTTGATTGAGCTTACCGCATCATGGTTTACCTCGATTTCTATGTGCAGACCTTGCAAAGCCTTCAGGTATCCAGTAAGACTAGAAGCCAGAGCTGGGCATTTCTAAGATGGCA